ACACATACCCAAACATCAGCCTCAACTAGATGAAGGGTATGACAAGAATGATTTTATTCAGGCCATCTGGCCTTATATGCAGGCCACCATGCAAGGGGCAATCCTCCCTGGACCTGAGAGTAGACTACAGTAAAGACATACACACGATTACATTGGCTCTAAGCTCCAGGACACTCCCATACAAAATAGGTAAATCCCTCCCCTGTGTCTAGGAGATAGTTGAGTCAGCACTGTATTAAACTCAATTATCTCCACGCACAAAAACATAAAAAAAAATATACATTTAACCCCTTAACGCCGTTACACGCTGTCCCGGCTTTAAAGCCGTTGCGGCGGCATAGAACACCGTAACGGCTTAAGCCCCCAGGAGGTGAAATCTATTCACCTCCACCGTGATCCTCTTCTGGAGGGCTGCCTGACAGCCCAGGCAGCCCTCCCCCGGCAAATGAGGCCCCCGCGGGCCATGTGATCACTCTCAAAGAGCGATCACATGGCCCCCTATATTATAATATTGTGTATTTTATAATAAAAGATTTTTTGGCTAGATTTCTGTGCCATTATCTTTTTATGCACATTTTTATTATTATTATTTTTTCCTGGCATTTTATTCAACTATCCTGAGGTGGGGATCATACCACCAACGCTATTATCAGAGTGCAGTTAGGCTTGCACTCTACTTGTGAGTATATTTTATTTTATTTTATCCACTTTTATATTGTGTCATCAGAGAGCACTATTGGTTGTTTTTATGCTCTTCTTCTCCTTAGAGCTGGACACCATTTCCTTCTGGAGGACAAGCATCTGTATATCCTACGAGTGGGGATTGTTCCGCCATATGCCCATTACACCTGAGCTGGTCATAGCTCATCTAAATGTGAGTGAAAAATTTATATTTTAATTCACCTATATTCATCATATACACTCCGCACGATTGGTCCTCTTTTCTTGTGTCTTCCATATCACGAGATGATCTGCACTTCTATAAACAGAGAAGATACTCCACCAGCTGAAATATTGCTTAAAGACTACTTTCTACTACAGTTCTACCTTATATATATATATATTGGGACTAATTTTATATATTTTTTATAACCTTTTTAGTATTTCCTTTGGCGCAGCCTGTCTTCTCTTTCATTTGCAAAAGTAGACAACCCGACGTATTGCAAGTGGGGTATGTCCATTCTTGGTAGCCACTTAGTCACAAACACTGGCCAAATATTAGTTTTTTGCTTTTTTTCACACAAAAACAAATATGAACGCTAACTTTGGCCAGTGTTTGTGACTAAGTGGCTACTAAAAAAGACTAAACATACCCAGGGCCGGATTAAGAGCACAGTGGGCCTGGTGCTGACAATTATGATGGGCCTAATTACGGAATCTTATCGACCAAAAACACTAAAACAATCATACCTCCCAAGCGTCATGTATCTGATGGAGATGGTGCTGGAGGGAAACTCGTAGGATGCAGCTATAAGAAAACACATACTCTATGCTAATTTCTCTTTAATTTATGCTTTCATCAGTGTCCAGTGGATCAGGAAGTCAATGGGCGGGGTAAAAGGGTGTGCCACTGGCGCGAATCATGTGAAAAGACCTGCCAAAAGGGGTGAACATGCCCAAAAAGGGGCATGTTTGTCCAAAGAATTGGAAGGTCAGCCTGGCACGAATGCATGTCAGGCTGCCTGCCAATCCTGCAGGCTGTCCAACTAAGGGCATACTATGCAGGCAGCACCTTGAGCTTGACATAAATGTGTCTAATGATGCGCTCACTCCATTCTTTCTAAGGACTGTCCCCTAGCACTCGCTGGTCCACTTGTCTCCTTACCTTCTTACTAGCAGGCAGAAGTTCCTGGTATATAGTCTGAGACAGAGAAAATGTGTCTGTAGTGAGTGTAGAAGAAAGGGGACGTGCCACAGTGTTAGAGAGACCAATGTCTGCATTACCTAAACTAATTTTTAATGTCAGCCAGTCCACACAAGTTTTGTTCCCATACATCCCTCTTAAGCTTCCAAACTTAAAGGGACACTGTAGTCACCAGAACAACTACAGCTTATTGTATTTGTTCTGGTAAGTAGAATCATTCCATTCAGGCTTTTTGCAGTAAACACTGTCTTTTCAGAGAAAATAACTCCACTGTCTGCTCTTTAGATGGCTGCTAGAGGTGCTTCCTGGGGCAGTACTGGCTAGTGTGCAGCACTGCCATTCAGTGTCTCCACCCTCTGCATGCAGACACTGAACTTTCCTCATAGAGATGCATTGATTCAATTTATCTTTATGAGGGGATGCTGATTGGCCAGGGCTATCTTGGACTTGTGCTGGCTCTGCCCTTGATCTGCCTAGTTGACAGTCTCAGCCAATCCTATGGAGAAGTATTGTAATTTGCTCAGACCACCACTTCTGAGCCAGCAGCTGCAGAATTGAATACAAGTAATATTTTACTATATTTAGGGAGGCAAGGGGCCAGGGTGGTGGTTTTAACATAATAGGCTCAGAAATACATGATTGTGTTCCTGACCCTATAATGCTCCTTTAAGCAAGAGTATGTGAAGAGTAGTTAAGGTTGCCACCTTTCTTGGAAAAAAATACCAGCCTTAATCATTTGTATAATTAATTAGTTATGCGTGACATCACATGATGTAAATCACAAGGAGTGACATCAGAGAAAATTCTGTAAAATCACCAAACTACTCAGTTTGATTCTGCTGTATAGATGGATTGCTCCCAGTTTCTCCCAGTGTCTGTCTCGCAAGTCACCCAGTGTCTCAGTGTCCCTATGTATCACAGTGTCAGTGTCCCCATGTCGCCCAGTCCCCTAGTCTCCCAGTGTCTGTGTCCCCATTTCTCCCAGTGTGTCCCCATGTCACTAGGATACTGGGGAATCTGGGAGAAATGGGGACACAGACACTAGGGACACAGACACTGGGAGACATGGGGACACTGAAACATTAGGAAATCTGGGACATTTAGGGAATCTGGGAGAAATGGGGACACTAAGGACACAGACATGGGAACATAGACACTGGGAGACTAGGGGACACTGGCTGGGAGACATGGGGACAGTTGTGGACATAGACATGTGGACACTGGGAGACATGGGGACACCAGGCACACTGAAACATTTGGGTACACTAAGACACTAGGGACACAGACACTGGGAGACTAGGGGACACTGGCTGGGAGACAGACACTTGGGGAGACATGGGGACAGTTGTGGACATAGACATGGGGACAATGGGACACATGGGGACACTATGCACACTGAGAGACATGGGACACAGACACTGGGAGACTTGGGGACACTGAGACACTAGGGACACTGGCTGGGGGACATAGTGTCTCTGTGTCCCAAAGTCTCTATGTCTCACAGCGTCCCCGTGTGTCTCAGCATCCCCATGTTTTCCAGTGTCCCCAAGTGTCTCAGTGTCCCCAGGTCTCCCAGTGTCTGTGTCCCCTAGTGACAGTGTCCCCATATGTCCAAGTGTCTCAGTGTCCCTATGTTTTCCAGTGTCCCCAAGTGTCTCAGTGTCCCCTAGTGTATGTGTCATCATTTGTCCCCTAGTGTCTCAGTGTCCCTGCTGCCTTTCCCCCCATCCCTCACTTACCTGAGCTCTAGAGCTGCTGTCTGGACTCTCTGTGCTGTGTAGCTGCTCCCCCATGGATCAGTGAGTAGTAGAGAAAGGCAGGGATATTCTGTAACTTTCTATCCCTGCCTCTCTCCACACACAGTGACCCCTACTGGCCGGTGCTGGTATTGCAGAGTAATTTCCATTTATTCTGAGAAAATTACCTGCATTTGTATTGCTGGTATTACTGCAATACCGGCACGGCCAGGCAGCCTCAAATACCATCTGTGCCATTAAAATACCAGTCAGGTGGCAAACCTAAGAGTAGTGTGTAAAAAAACAAAAAAACACACAGAACGTGTACTATTGACTCCGTCCTGAAGGGGTTAAACACATAAAATCCCCACAAAAGTTACATCCCCTGATAGCCCCGATCTGGTTGACCAGCATATCCAAAAATCACCCAGATCGGTTCAGGAATTTCCTGGGAGTCCTAATTTGACAGACCGCACTCATGGTTCTATGCCCAAAAATAGTTCCACAGTTTCAATGGTAGCGGTAGGTCTATTTCGGGAAGTCTACAAACTGAACAAATTCACATACTGTTCCCCTGGCTCATAGGTAGGGTTTGTTCCCCTAGTTCGTTGGAACAAAACTACCGAATAGCGCTCTCTTGGCTGGTCTGTGAAAATAGCAGGAAGTCAAGTGTCTGATTTTAGTTCCAGACACTCGACGACCAAGTCCCGCTGCCTCTTTTCATGCAAACAAGATAGCCGCCGTGTTCTCCAACACGTGGCGTTCGGCTATACAAACGGTGGCCACACAGGAAGAGCACTTAATTCTGCAGTTGTCTTTGTAGATAATGAGCCAGGGGTGGTCGGTGGTCGAGAAATATCCAATTCAACGAACCAAACAGGGTAGTTTCTTCACAAGCAATAATTACCTTTGCAGGTTTAAGGGGCCTCGGACACTACACCCAGACCACTTTAATGAGCTGAAGTGTTCTGGGTTCCTATAGTGCCCCTTTAAAATCAAGCTTAACACAAGTGCTAAAGACATTATCAAAACTCTATTTTAAAAATATATAAAAATATAATGTATCAGAGCCAAAAATTTTGCTCTAGAAATTCACACCAGGTGAATTCACAACCTTAGATGAAAGCAAAGAACTTTAGATTTTAAGCCCCGTATATATCAATATGTAGAGGCTTGTTGGTTTCCAGCTTTGCCAATGCCACTCTAAGGCTCGTGTCCAATTTCTAGTCAGTGGAAATGTGTTCAAGGCACATGGCAGTGCACATTAACCTGTCTTTCAACAGACACTTTTATAACGAATCTAATATTAATATTCTAATCCAAGTATTATAAAAGTTTTGTAAGCAGTGGAATGTCCTTATTTATTAGTTTCTAAGACAGAATCTAAGATTTGCAAGGCTCTTAGTGTATACCCTTAACGTTTTGGGGATTTTAAAAGATACAAAAAATAATAGTAATAATTAAATCATTCTTTTACAGTTTCTGAAATTAACAAAAAAAAAAAAAATAATAATTCAGGGATGTGAACCACTTTGATGCTGCAGTTTATTTATAGTTGATACAGCAGCAATACATGATCACCAGTTGTATTTCTGAACAGCTGTTTTATTCAAAGAGAATCCACCAAATCATTACTTTTCAAAACCTCAAACCTTATATAAACGATCCTTAAGCACATTCATAAATCCTCAAGTACAATTATGATTTATAAAAATATTATACATATGAAACTTTGAGTAAATTAACAGCACATACATTTTGTCTTATAACAATTTAAGTCATGTTTTCCAAGCTGATATTTTGTGTAATTAAGTAATGACTTGCACAGCTGAGTATCCAATCTTCAAATTTATTGACTTTCAATTTTTTCTTTTTTTAAGAATGTAAAAAAAAAAATTTTTGCATAGGGAGATAATCAAATCCTACAAAATGTTTAATGTGCCTGTCCAAAAATACACTAGGGGAATCAGACATAAATGTTATTATATCAATAGATCTGCAGACATATATTATTTATCCCCTCTTAGTAACTGGAATTGTAAAAACAATGTTTTGTGATTAATACAAATGCCAAATAACCTGTGATTAAATCAAGGATAAGCCCAACAACACTTTCTAGGAAAGCTTTAATTATGTATGTTTATATATATATATATATATATATATATATATATATATATAAAATATTATAGGGATATAGTAAAAGTTGGCTACAGAAAATGTGTATTTCTCGGTACATAACGTCACCTGCAAAAAATACTTTGGATACAAGATAAGAGAAATAAAATATAATCAGAGAAAACAGATGTAGCAGGAGGAAAAACTAATTTGGAAGTTTTTTTAGTTTTTTTTTTAAGGCCCAAACTACGAACAGTAGACCTATTTGTGTCCAGTTTCTATAAGAAAGTGTCAAAGGCCAACATGAATATACAACTTCTGGAAGTGTCTTTTTTCCCCTTGGTATCACTTGAAGAATCACAGATAGTAAATAGTTCTTGTTCACCACCATTATGCCCTGAATAGTGTAGGTTTAGTGATACATTTCCTCTTTTCGGCATCACTGACTCGAGTCAGTGGGGACTGAGAGTTCACACTAAAGAAGAGGGCAGTTTGGGCACGTTATCTTCTTATGCTGGTAAACTGAGCTTCTTTCCCTTTAAAACTGTAGACAAAAAGTAAAAACAAAATCAATTGAACTGTAACAGCATTACTGATAATTCAGTTAACAAGTACATTATACCTTGCACAGCAAATAAACATTCAAAATAAATAGCTCTGGCAAAAAAAGTCTAAAGTATGTAAAGATTTGTGCTGAAACAGAGGAACAATCTAGGCACTATGATGGTTTTTATCTCAATGAAATGGTTACAGGGCGTGGAGCATTTTCAGACAGTTTAACACTGAATCAGGATCCTTGGTTGCACGCAATTCAGGCACCATTGGTGATATGGCTAAGGCAGAAATGACCAATTCATACTAGCAATAGGTTACACCAGCGCCAGACTGAGCGGACGGCTGACACTCAGCCAATGACTACTACTCAGGCTAATTCTTTCTCAATTTTGCCCTGCCACACCGCCTCCTCCGCTGACATCCAATGTTTCCCAATAACCAAATATTAAAGGACCACTATAGTGCCAGGAAAACAAACCCCCACCCTCATGGCCCCACTCCCGCTGGTCTGAAGGGGTTAAAACCCCTTCAGCCACTTACCTTTCTCCAGTGCTGGGCTCCCTCAGCGCTGGTGACCTCTCCTCCTCCTGCCGAACGTCAGCGCCAAATGCGCGCGTCGCGCATGCATTCAAACCGCCCATAGGAAAGCATTACTCAATGCTTTCCTATGAACGTCAGCATCTTTTCACTGATGTGGCTGTCAGTGTGACAGCCACTAGAGGCTGGATTAACCCTCCGTGTAAACATAGCAGTTTCTCTGAAACTGCTATGTTTTCAACTGCAGGGTTAAAACTAGAGGGACCTGGCACCCAGACCACTTCATTGAGCTAAAGTGGTCTGGGTGCCTATAGTGGTCCTTTAAGCGACTACTGAACATCCATGAAAAATTGCCTTGCTGTGCCAATCAAATTCTCTCCATAAGCAGCACGGAGCCATCAGCAGCAGAAGAAAACCTTGACGGCTGTCTGACAGGTGGGGAGGCGTTTTTGCAAAGTTTTATAGAAGTGCCAATTTCTATTTAAATTGGCACTTTTATAAACTGTCACAAGTATGACAAACTCCAGACACATCATGCACTTCAGTGAGCCTTTCAGTGAGCCTTGTGTGTCTGGGATGTAAATTTAAGATAATTTCTTGTGAGTAAAACTAGGTTTATAAAAAAATTAAAGAATAAAAATATGATTATTTCAATATGACAGGCAGAAAAACTGGGGAGCTCATGGTAGTGCTGCCCTTTTATAAGAGTTGGACAGGAGGAGATTGGATTTGGTTTTATCTTAAAGGACCACTATAGTGCCAGGAAAACACTCGTTTTCCTGGCACTATAGTGCCCTGAGGGTGCCCCCACCCGCCGGGCTGGATGGAGGGGAAGGGGCTAAACTTACCTCTTTCTCCACCTTCTCTTCGGCTGAATGCGCATGCGCGGCAGGAGCCGCGCGCGTGCATTCAGCCAGTCCATAGGAAAGCATTCACAATGCTTTCCTATGGACGCTGGCGTCTTCTCACTGTGAGACAATGAGACAGCCACTAGAGGCTGGATTAACCCTAATATAAACATAGCAGTTTCCCTGAAACTGCTATGTTAATAAAAAAAAAAAAAAAAGGGGTTAAACCTAGCTGGACCTGGCACCCAGACCACCTCATTAAGCTGAAGTGGTCTGGGTGCCTATCGTGGTCCTTTAACATTTGCAAAGCTACCTGGTCCTGTAAGAGAGGAAAAGGCAACTGGCCATTTATGATGACTGCTGCTTGGACATATGGAATATCAGGGTTATGAACTAACTGGAGAAATGGGACAAGCATAGTTTTATATTAAAGGGACACTATGGGCACCCATACTACTCAGCTCTGGGTGCGGTGTCCCAGGTAATTTTATGAGAAACTGCAATAATTACATTATCTCGATCTCTAGTGGACTTTTAGTCACCTGACGCTGAACATTAGGACATCCAGCATCACACAAAACCCCATTGTAAAGTCCTAATACGATCGCGCATTAGGCCACCCGCAGGCTGACGTTGGCGGAGCCTGAACCAGCGCCGAGGGAGATCGGCACTGGAATCAGGTAAGTCATTTCTGTAAGTTCAATCTTTCAGATAACGATTTATACTATTGATCTATTCCACAAAATAGATCCTTACATTCCTCACCATCGTCATAATCAGATTTCTCCTTGGATCAACAAGCTATATATTAATTATGTCCTTGAATATTTAGCTTTTCTTTTTTTCTTCAAAACATACAAAAAGTTTGACATTTACCTGGATCTGTCATGCTCCAGCATCCCTTTCAGTCTACAGTGCTAAAGTCGAAGTTTCTCTTTCCACATTAACATACCAACTGGACATTTTTCTTTGACTGTATTCTTTGAATGTACAGCAGGATAGTCATATTTAAAATTACCACTTATTGACCAGAGACATAGTTATCAATCCAATAATAACTCCTGTACACTTCATGTTTCTTATGACTTATGTACGCAATTATTGAAGTAAACAAAAAACCTTTACTAGACACAAATGATCATTTCCACTGACATTGCCATATGCCTCTTTCATCAAAGATGATATATGTAAACTCATACACTGTATAAACTAATCCTGTTATATATTCCATCTCACCTTTGGTAATGTACAGGTAAAAGAAATCGCAGTAAAGTATGGTTTGCACCAGTCCGGCAACAATAGCAATGAGGTCAAAGAATCCTTCGAACTGGAAGCGCCATATCCAGTTGAAGAGATAAAGGGTACGGTAGATTCCCAAAGCAAAGAGGTAATGGCTGGTGATCGTTTCAGCTTCACCAGTTTTACTGACCATAAACAGCTGGGGCAGTATGGCAACAGACTCAAGGTAGATAGAGAAGGTCCAAAGAATCTGTTAGATAAAAAGCAACAAAAACATACATAAGAAACATAACTGAGTGACTCACCATTATTTAATGCAGACTGTGTGGCTCTACATTTTCAATTGAGTAAGGGTGGGCCTAGGTGCAGGATTAAACCATTTATGACCTTTACGTTGCAGCTACTTACAGTAGAGAAGCCAGCAAAGGGTCTAGAAACTAAGCGACCAGAGCCTCTGCCAACATCATAGAGTTAAGCACAGCTACATAGAGCTGTGGTTTGGCTAGTTCTGAACACAGCACCATAAAGTCATTACAGAGATAGAGCTGCGGGACCGCTGTGTTTAGAAGTAGCCCAAGCACTACTCCCGGACACTAGGAATGAGACCTCTCCAATAAGGAGGGGGCCTTAGGAAATTAGAACGACATAGTTACATAGTAATCTAGGAATCTAAAACCCATTCAACATCAAGTTGGGAAGAGAATCAAGCAAAAGGGCATGGGAAGATGAAACATGGATGGATGAAAGAAGGGGTACATATACACTCCTGCAATCACAACCACACATACAAACATCTCTGCACATTCACACTGCAAAATAATACACCCTAAACATTAACACTCCGTGCTGTGAACCAGGTATAAAAAAAATACATGCAGTTCACGTGTGTTTTAAGGTGACATAATAGGATGTATTACATGTAATATTACACAATGCATATTAGTGGTGACCGCATATTGCAATTTTAATCTGATTATTTCTGATTTAAAAAAAAAAAAAAACTGGCACGCTAATCATACCATCCATTTTATATAGATACACTGTGCTAAGGACAGATGTGTACCTTTAAATTAAATGTTCTATATAAATCATGGACAAGCTAGGGTTAAAGAGCAATTTTTATACAACTATAAAAATAATTAGCAAATTTGTAGTGCAACCCATTACAGTTACAGATGGTGCTATCGGAATTGTGCATGTTTGTGTGTGTATATATTACACCCAAAGCAATGCTTTAAATATATTTCTCCATTATGGTTAGGATGCTCTGACCGTTGTCCACTCCAGTCCCCAATGTATACTTTTAAAAGAGTATATTCCAAGACAATTACACTTTATGTTGATAAATGACAGAGAGACAGTAGGCAGAATGCCAAGTGCATATGCCACCAAACCATTAACTCTGGAACACTCTGATAGAGATCCAGTTTTTTTTTCTTTTCAATCTTTCTAACGATGTTACATAGCTTAGCCGCCTTCTCAAATCACAAAACACTAAAGAGGTGTTAGTTTAAACATTTGTAGTTTTGAACCATTAAACAATTACTAAACCAATTAGTACAATTGTATAATTGGCCCCAAAAGATTTGCCAGTGTAGAGCAAAGCAGTACAGAATGTTTTGAATATGTGATGATTCCTGCACAGAGACTACGATGCCCGAGGGAAAAAGTAAAAAAATAAAAAAAAAATAAAAAAACCCCCAATAAAACCAAAGCATGAGGCAGGGTGGTCTGTACAATGTATAAAAGTAGTGGGGAACAAAGAATGGATGGTATGAAGTGAGGTTTGTGTGCAGATGTGTTTGAGAAGTGAACAGCAGGTCTTTAAAGAAGGCATCTTCTGCTGGACCAGCAAACAAGGAGCTGACTATGTAGAGCAATTGATGCTGTATTCTTAACAAAATAGCCAAAATAGAGCTAGACCACTGTGTTAGCGGATAGAACTTTGCACACAGCCGACTATTCTACAGAGTTATTGCTGGCACTACGCAAAATTTGATTGCTCTGGTTACCTCTAGAGGGGTGAAGTCGTGGTTAACAAGGAAGGACAGGATAGCTGTAGGAATAATAAGGAACTCCACACGAAATGTATCATGGTTCCCATCATACGTAGCTTTGAATTTGCTGTAGATCATCCATACTGTAGCATATGAACTAGCAACGTACACCACCTGAGGAGATACAAAAAGACCAACAAATTAATAAGAAATAAAATAACGTTCCCATAATGAGCACAAGACAGCACTCTTGTTGTTTTGTTTAAGATATCAAAGTGTTCGGTTACAAATTATAGCAAACCAATAGTGACAAGGCCTGTGTCCTGTATGGAGTCATTTTATCGCTATTATCCTGCCTTACCTGCTACTAGAGCAGTTAGGTTTCTAAAATGGAGATCTGTTACCAAATGATCATCTACAAAATTCTGCTTAGACGGCGGACAACGTTGACTTGTAACGGACTTATTTATTAAAAATATTAAATTAATTGTCCCGCTATGAACACATTCTTTTGAAAGAAACAAACAAAAAAATTTTTTTTTAATATATATATATATATATATATATATATATATATATATATATATACACACACACACACACATATTTATTTTTTATTTTAATATTTATGAGGGTAGCGTGTTGGCTAATTTGTTCATGGTCTATCACTCTGCTCTTCATCTGGTTTTTACTGAGGCTACATACTGTTTGTTTCCAGGAGAGCTTGCTATAAACTTGCATGTACTGCATAAGTGCTTTAACCAAGGTTAATCAAACTCTGCAATGTTCCAATTTTATACTTTAACAATTACAACTTCAGAAAAACAAAGATTACAATGCACAGCCCATAATTGTATTTAAAAAATACTATAGTGCTAAAGGAGGAGCTAGCACTACTGAAACCATTAGAAGAGGCTACAGAAATCATGCCCCAGGCCTCACGGCTTCAAAAATACTGTATAAATTAAAGGCTCAGTTAACCATCACAATTCAAAATAAAAATGTATGCAGTTCATTGACAGATGGCATAAAACCCAAGCCCATATTAAAGCACAGCATGCTGTTAGCCCTCACGTTGCTCTGTGCATGTGAAAATTTTTAGTGCTGGTACTTAAGCAACAAACGAGTTGCTGTAAACATACTATATAACTCCAGTTTAAGCTTGGAGACCTTTGAATTATTTATTAAACACATTTTTTTTTTTATTTCTAGCTTGCCTATATTGTACTAAATTTTAGAGATTGGTTCTCAAGTCTCCTAAACGCACTGCTTCGTTAAATAAGAACAGACATGCAGGAAAAAATTTGCAAACTACCAGCCTTAAAGGACCACTCTAGGCACCCAGACCACTTCAGCTTAATGAAGTGGTCTGGGTGCCTGGTCCAGCTAGGATTAACCCATTTTTTTTATAAACATAGCAGTTTCAGAGAAACTGCTATGTTTATAAATAGGTTAATCCAGCCTCTAAAGCCTCTAGTGGCTGTCTCATTGACAGCCGCTAGAGGCGCTTGCGTGCTTTTCACTGTGAAAATCACAGCGAGAAGACGCAAGCGTCCATAGGAAAGCATTATGAAGGCTTTACTATGAGACTGGCTGAATGCGCACGCAGCTCCTGCCGCGCATGCGCATTCAGCTGAAGAGGAGGAGAGCTCCCCGCCCGGCGCTGGAGAAAGGTAAAAATTTAACCCTTTCCTCTCCCCAGAGCCCGGCGGGAGGGGGTCTCTGAGGGTGGGGGCACCCTCAGGGCACTATAGTGCCAGGAAAACGAGTATGTTTTCCTGGCACTATAGTGGTCATTTAATTTTTAAGGTAATACTCAAACTACTAACAAAATATTACAGCCTTTTTATAAATCATGCAAAAGTTAAAAAAAACTAAACAGAACTGCAACTATATATGGAGAATACACTAGACTGGTCAGAGCTCGTACTTTTCCAAAGCCTGCAAATTAAAATAAAGAGGCCTTGTCATTAGTGAGGACTAACTTTAAAGTCTCATGGAAGTATTTTATGGAAAAATGCACAGAGAGGCAGAGTTTTGCAGCTTCTGCAGTCACAACTTTTTCAATAGTTGTAGTTATCAAAAACGGAGTTTAAAGTGACACTCCTGGGACCATAGCAACTTCATCGTAATGGACTTATTTAATTAGTAGAATCCCATTGAGAAGAAAAAAAAAAAAGAAGAGGGAAAAATGGCGCAGATAAGGCTCAAAGCGTCAGCTGACGCTGGCAGCAGTGACTGAGCCGAGGCTTCCTGATTAAAGTCAGGGTATTGAGTGGAAGTACAGATGCAGAGCGATTGGGTGCTGGCTGAAGACATTGAAGTTAAATAGTCTGGTAAGCCCTTCAGAAAAGCCAGAGCACAGGAACTCCTTATATCTTAACAGCTTCATTTCAATGAAGTTGCAATGGTGCCATAGTGGAACTCTCCGGGAAAAACTACAACTTCATCTCAGTGAAATTGTTATGGTGTCTTGAGGTCCTGGGCTCTAATCTTACCTTAAAGGGGTTAAACTCCTCATTCCCCAGCTTCAATAAAGAAACCTTGGACAAGGCGGCTAGTGAAAGGCTACCCGTCACTGGCTTCCCAGTGTGAAAACTACATGAGAATGTATGACAATTCTCAGTGCTTATTACACACACACACACAAAAAAAATGAATTAAATAAGATGGACTTTTACCTTCATTGATGTATTGTAGAGGGAGATAAAATTTGTAAACAGGTCTAGGTATCGAGTAGTGAAAACAATTGCAAAAAGAATCTGACTTTTCCCAGAGATACCTGGAGAGAAAAAAAAATAAATGTATTAGCAACGAGATTCTTTATTCCAGAATTATACTTTCTGTAATAAAAATCTAAAAACAGTAACCTGAAGGATTTAATATTCACTTAAAGTAAATATTTTGCTACATGTATAAAACAAAACATCTCTCTCAAAACCCATACACGTTATCGGTTGATTTAATATCATTAATTAGAATACAGAACAGGTTTCATTTCTGGTTGCTTGTGTTAGATACATTTCTTTTAAAATGTTGAACAAAATTTAACAACCTGTTCCCGAGCACAAATTTCAATTATGGTATCCTGAAAATATTATCACTTTCTAATTCCTGGAGGATCCTTCCTATCAAGGAAACTTCAATTCTGCTCTCCCAGGAGTCTCCTTCTCCAGAGCTTCCTCCTTCCTCTCGTACATGGTTCATGCATTTAATGACTCCCTATGTAATAATCATTATTCTGCTCGTGTGCTTAGTATGATCATGAGCAAGCCATAATTCATATTTATAACCATCTTATGTCAATCGAAGTGCACACGCAGATATGGCAATTCATATGCAGAGATTTACTGCTTGCGCAAATATGTAACCTTTAAAATATCTTTAGTATTTATAATGGCATAGAAAAATATAGCAAAAAGAAATGAATATACTACATGTAGTGCAAAAAGCTATTCATCACTCCAAATATAATTCTAATATGCGTACTGTAACACCCAGCAGATTTACTTTCCATGCAAATATGTTTATAAAGGAACATTTATAAGGTATATTTATAACCTCTTCTTATGTATTAAGGAAATATTGGAATAAAAAAAAAAAAAAAAAAAAAAAAAAAAAAAAAAAAAAAAAAAAAAAAAAAAAAACTTAATTTACAGCAAACCTTGAATCAGGAAATAGCTGTGGTCTTTCAGCCAATCCTGGCACAATCATGCACTATCGGATTCTGACTCATTAGCAAACAGCAGCATAATGATTAAATATTTCAGTAAGTAAGGATCGCCAATTAAAAATACTTGCATTCAACATACTGACACACACACACACACACACACACATATGTATATACACATACACCACCCATGTATTTGTTTATTATTTGCATCTACTCCACAATTTTAAATGTCAACGTTTTGGATGTGATTAATCCTGGTCAAGAACCAAGCTTAAAAAAATAAAAAATAAAAAGACTGAAGAACCCATCTTCAGAAAACATTATTACCTTGCATGCTTTGCAAGCTGTTAGGATCTAAATGATCTGTTTCGACATAAAAGCATCTATGTCACTGTCTGAGTCTTCATATATTTTGCAACGACCCCCAACAGTGACTGCTCTAATGAAGGTCTGTTTGGTAGAGAGGAAGGTAAGTGTACGTGCTGCCGCCATGGTCTTACTGACGATCTTCTTTGTCACATCAGCATCGATCACAGCCGGCAGGGGGGCATGCAGGTTGACTTGATCAGGGTCTTTTCTAACCCTCTGGGTGCAGGCTCACAGTTCTCACTTTGAGTGATGCACGCGGCTCGTATGTCAGTCTGGAGCCACTAATTGCGGCTTAAGTGGACAGAGAGGACCATCGAAAGGACTAATTCCCAGCTGGTACTTTTAATGCATTATGGTCTATGCAGTCATTGGGCTTAAAAGCGTTAAACGATGGCATAGACAGTCATGCAGCCCTTAACTTTCAGTGGTTGAACCTGGCCTTAGATGTGCGAATATTTGATATCACAAAAACATTTTTTTTTATTTTGCTAAATTATGGTCTCATTGTTTTATGGCCATATTTTATTATCGGAATGCACAAGAAAAAAAAACAAAAAACCCCCCAGAAAACGAAATGATATTTAAACTATTGTGTTGCGTACAATTACTAAATTAATTCAACATAGAACCCTGCAATACATACTTGCACTGGTTAACATGACAAGTTCGATTTATTTCCCTAACCTTTTACCAACTTTTTTGATATCATGCAACCATTGCAATACTGGTAACGTATACTGTCATTTTTGTTGTTTTATTATTATTGATAGTTAATTGGAAAAACCCCTGACTTGAGCGAACGCAATTCATAAATAACCAATTGTGATTCATGCTGACATACTATAAAATAAAATACTAATACTTTATTTTCAGTGTTCAGCACATGCCTTTAAATTGAATTTATTATATTTAGCTTTTCAAAGCACAACAGCTAAAATGAATGGTGCTGGGATTGCATCTGATCCTGAGTTGTGTTTCAGAGCTGTTGTACACAGCAAACAAACTCCAAGGAATCCATGTTTAAAATGTAATAATGAGTCAAAAAGGTGATTATTTGTTGAACACATTTGCATATGTCCAGCCAGAGTCCCTTGCAGTAGTAACATCACTGCAAATTTTAGATTTACGTCTATCTTCTGTCCTTATTCCCACCTTCAACGGCTGCACCGTTTCTGTGGAACTCACTTCCCTCACCCAGTCTCCACTCCTTACAAAAAAAAAATCATTAAAAACATACTTCTTCATAAAAGTGCATCAATTAAACTGTTAATAGCTCCGACTGATTCCTCTCTTGCAACTGTCATTAGTCTAATACTATCCTTACCTTTTTGTGTCATTTTACCCCACTCCCTCTAGCATGTAAGCTTATTGAGCAGGGCCCTCAAACCCTCTGTTCCTGTGTGTCCAACTTGTCTGGTTACAACTACATGTCTGTTCGTCCACCCATTGTAAAGCGCTGCGGAATTTGTTGGCGTTATATAAATAATAACATAATAATAATAATTTAAAGCAAGACTTATGACTTAGTGTGTGAAGATCTATGTTTAAACAATGTAATGACTATCTACGGACTTCATGTGGAAGGGATTTTCAATTACTTTTTTGTGTGTAGGTAGGTGTGTATGCATATATAGTTTAAAAGCAAATAGAATTTTTCTAAAAGGAAAGGGGAATGCACTCTATTACATTTTAACATACCGTATATACTCGAGTATAAGTCGAGTTTTTCAGCACATTTTTTTGTGATAAAAAACCCCCACTTTACTTATACTCGAGTCAGAGTCTGTATTATGGCAACTTACATTGTCCTGTTGGGGGCTGGCAGAGAGCTGTTACTTTCCTTTCCTGCAGCTCCTGTCAGCTCCCTTCTCTCTCCTCCGTTCCGGTCAGCAACCTTCTCCTCCACTGTAAGTCTCGCGAGAGCTGCGGGGTCAGAGCGTTGCCACGGGTTACCGTGGCAATGCTCCGCACGGCAGTCAGACAGCAAGACTTACAGTGGAGGAGAAGGGAGCTGACAGGAGCTGCTGTAAAGGTAAGTAACAGCTCTCTGCCAGCCCCCCTCCTACACAGCCCATGCCACTGGACCACCAGGGAATGAGAGACCCCTCCCTGGCCATGTATCAAGCAGGGAGGGGGACGAAAAAAATATAAATAAAAATTTAAATAATATTAAAATAAAAATAATATATAAAAAAAATAATAATTAAAAAAAAAAAATAATAATAAAAATGCCCACCCCCCACCAAAGCTCTGCATCACATACACACACACACACTGCACTCATATACACACACTGCATTATATACACACAAACTGCATTCATTATAAACACACACTGTAAATAAATATTCAATTAATATAATTTTGGGGGGATCTAATTTCATTTAGAAATTTACCAGTAGCTGCTGCATTTCCCACCCTAGTCTTATACTCGAGTCAATAAGTTTTCCCAGTTTTTTGGGGGTAAAATTAGGGGTCTCGACTTATATTCGGGTCGACTTATACTCGAGTATATACGGTAATTAACATTAATTTACGATTTACTACGAACGAAAGTTAATTAAATGCAGGTGTTCTTCATAGTAAATTGTGTTAGGGGCCTTCCAAGTGGTGTGCCGGAAGAGGATGAGTACACACACCGAGGTACCCCCAGCTTTGGTATGTGCTAGGCAAAAAAGTGGGAAGGATACCATTACAGGTCAAGCCTCCCAATTTCTTTAAAGGGACATTATAGTGCTAGGAATATAAATCTTTATTCCTAACGCTATACAATCCTTGTCCCTAGTTACATTTTACCATCCATCTGTGAAGTATGATGTAAAAAATAAAAAAAAAACCTTTACCTTTTCTCCAGTGTCTCCCTTTATGCTGCCACATATCATGTCACCCAGTACACAAAACACACCACTACACAGCCAGCACACACCACAGAACGCCAGCATACACCCAGCCACCACACACACTCTGAAGGACAACAGACAAGACACTAAACAACACATTCTTGCCAATTATATCCGAATGGAAAAACTAAAAAAATTAGCCAGCTGTGACTATAACCAAGTTTGAGAATTTTTCCAGATTAGGTAATTATGATTTATTTACCGAATAACCCTATCAATGTCCAGGTCTAAGCATGGTTCCCAAACATTCTAATTGAAATTATTTTAAGTCATGAAAAGTTGATTATCATGATGGACATTTTAGGGTCTTGGAGAATTAGATTTATTAAAAAAAAAAAAAGAGAAATTTCTACACCCCTGCCAGAATTAATGGACCTCCTATGTAAACTGATAGTAGCTATACCACGAATGCTATAAATTTACACACAACCCAGTTCACTATTTAGTGAACCAGGATAAGAGCACAGTCCACACATGCTTCGTGGCTCAATTATCTATCCTGCAAAGTTAAATCTCAGACCACGATGTGTGTGCACTTGAGGCAAGCACTAGTAGGACAAATTAAGCTGATCACTTACATATTTTGACAGGTCCCCCGAAGTAACATCTACCCCTGATCTGCCAATCCTATGGGGAAGCATTGTGATTGGCTCAGACCACCACTTCTGATAATGTCAGCAGACAGGTCAGAGGCAGTTCAGTGGCAGAGACAGCAACTGCAGACTTAAATACAAGTAAGATTTTAGTATATTTAGGGAGGCAAGAGGGGGCAGGGGGGCTAGATGATGGTTTTAATACAATAGGGTCAGAAAAACGTGTTTGTGTTCCTGACTATAATTTTACCACATGACAGGAGGCTTCATATTTTGTATTAACTTTCTTTACTAACTTTATAGCAGCAAAGAAAAAAAAACAGGTGAAATAAAGAACCAATCAGAACACAGTCAGAGTGTATATAAGGGAAAGCATATCCGCATCACTTCCTCTTTCTTTGCTGCTCCATCATAAGTCAGGTCAGAGTACTTGTTCTATGCCTCTGTTTTAAAACTGTACTTATTGTATGTGGTTACTATTTTCCTTTCCTGTGGGGATGACAGGGGGCTATCCTCTATCTTCACTTCTCTAGTGGGGCTGTTTTTCTCTGGAGTTCTGTCCCCTCTCCCCAGGCCATCTTTTACCTGAGGCGGCCTATAACTCCCCGATGGCTATATCTGCCACTTTCCTCACTTTTCCTGCACCAATCGCATTGACTTCAGTGCGTTCGGGCTGGGAACTGTATTGATTCGTGTATTTAGGCACGAACAGGCTGTTCGTGAATTTTTCCCCGTTCACGCCTATTCTGTGCATAGTGTTCGGTGGCTTGCGCATGAACTGGCGGTGCGCGGGGTTTCCCGTTCACATACAGCATTTGGTAGATTTACACGAACGGACTGTTCGTGGAATTCTCCGTTCGCATCTATTGACATTCACGCATTTCGCTGGCTTTTTACACCATGTTAGCCCCGGTTCTTGAGAGACCCGCGGTGGCTATCTTGTTGGTTTTGTTAGTCGTGGATTTTACTCCCATCTGTGCTGTGCATACTGTTAGGGACCTGGTCAGCTTGGTGTAATACCCCTGAGTGGGACTGCCAGTCAGGTATACCCTAGTATTCTGGCAAGGGGTGAACCCCCATTTGGGTAATACCCAGAGTGCTGCTGAATGGAAACTGCATTTGCAGTTCCGATTATCCTGGATGAGCCCCAGTGATCATAACAAGAGTCTGCTTATTACCACACGCCAATAGTCTGTAAGTGAGTGAAGGCCCACGGTCTGCTTATGTCCCTCCCGACCAGCCCCTATACCGCTCATACCTGTGCCTGTTAGAAGCAGTATTCGTACCCATATAAAACTATCATGAAGACAACCAGAACCCCACGGATCTCCAGGCTATGATTAACGCGGCAGTGGCCGCATCTCTGGCAAAATCTATGGCCAAAGTATTCCCAACGGGCAGACATACCTGCCCCAAAACGCTCCCAAGCCAGAGATGACTCAGATAAGTCAGATGACTCCTCCAGAGAGAGAGAGCACAACCGGCAAAACGCCATTGGAAGGGTGAGGGCTCCAGGAAGGTCCACGGTAAGGGTAAAACACCCCTTAAGCGCAATAAGCGCCCAACAATGAACACCCCTCCTCCTATTGCACGATTCCTCAGATGCGGAAAGAGAAGTGCCAGACTCCCTCCCAGTTGTGGACGAGTGGCGGGCAGAGGTCTCAGACCCAGACGACGGCGATTGGGGCTCCAACACCTACGTTGGGGAGATCTTTTTGGGTGAGCCCCAGAGTAAGGAGGATGCAGGGATGACGGAGACGTTCACTGCGCAGGACCAGGAGGTTGTCCTGGTCACTACGGGGCAGAGGATGTTCGACCCCAGGAATATCAGGCATCCCCACTCTGGGGAGTGGACTCCACCAGAACACCTCCTTAAGCTTATGCACTTTAGGATTCGAAAGCCCCTGGACAAAAGGGGGCAAGAGGATGAGGGCCGAATGCTCCAGATCATCGTTGCCTGATAAAGTGGCATTTAGTCTGAGTTTGACCAGCTCATGCTGGCATTTATGACACGTGGAGGTCGAGACCATCGCAGAGGGGTCGAAATGGGCTTCCGGGGCACACAGGATAAACTCCTGGACATGATGGAGCCTCTGGCCCGTGTTATGTACTTGGCGGATGACGCATACGTCTGTGCAGACTCTTTCAATGCGGATATGGTGTGTGAGTGAGCGAGTGACCCAAAGAGGGTTTTGTTTAATAGGCAATACTAAATGGTGCAGCACTCTACCGCATCTACCCCACACTGGTGGATATTGGTGTTAAAGAACTAGGCCCACAGGCACAGGGAAAATTGTTTGGAGAGGCCTTTATAAAGGAAATGTGTTCACCTCTCTAAGTAAGGCCCGTACCTCCATGGACAGGGTCTTTAAAGGCAACCCTACCATGGGGTGCTTTTTCCAGGGCAGGTTGGCAAAGGGGCCAGTAGGGAACCTTCATCCTAAGCTCCTGGATGGACGCCTATCCTTAGTAGCCTGGACTCTTTCGCGGGGTGCATGGTGTACCAGCGACTTATCGTGGGCTACTAGAGACCTGCTATGGGACTCATGGGCCCCTGGAACAAGGAAAAGTTACTGATCGGCCAGGCGATCTTGGACCTGTTGGTGCGTGGGATGGGACCTTGATCCCTTTACAGCACCTATTGCCGTGATCATGAAATTCCTGTCTTCACACTTTGAGGAAGGCAAGTCATACCGCACCATCGACGTCATCAGGTCCGCTATATCGGCAGCCCACGCACCTGTTCAAGGGAGGGCGGTTGGTCAAGACCCCCTGATCTATCGACTGCTACGAGGCATCAAACTTAGGCGACCTCCAGCCCCCAAATATCAACATCTGTGTGATGTGGGGGTAGTGCTTCGGTTCTTGAGAGGATGGCCATCCAATGAACTCCTATTCCTACGACAACTGACGGCCAAATTTACATTTCTACTGTGCCTTGTCTCACTGCGATGAGTCTTGGATGTGGCCGCTTTCAACGTGGACGCCTTTTCGGTTGCTCTGGAGGGAGTCACGTTCTGTATTTCCCGACGGACTAAATCAGACTCATCGTCAGTCTTCTACCCGTTTTTTGCCTCGGACCCCCAACTCTGCGTGGTAGCAGCATTGCGGGCATATGTGAAGGCGACTGAGAAGTTGCGCACAGCACTATCCCGACAACGGCTGGTTTCATGTGTCAGTCCTCACGGTCTGATTTCAGTCACCACTCTGTCCAGATGGATTAGATGGCTACTTACAGTCTTTTGGTGCCCACTCTGTTCGCGGAGCAGCAGCACTGACTGCTTTTATAGCGGGCGCGTCACTTTCAGACATCTTACAAGTGGCAGACTGGTCTCGTGAATCCACGTTCAGGACATTCTATTTCTGACCATCATCTAATGCCACATTTTCTCTTATGAAGCCTCCTGTAATGTGGTAGAATTGAAGATTATACTAGCGTAGGGTATGAATAATCGTAATGCTAGTAATGACAGGAGGAGAGTATTCCCCTCCCCTTTTTTGTATGTTGTTCATCCCACCCTGATATAAGGTAAGCTATGGGTCACAAGATATTGGGGGTTTGTAGTACTTTATGTGTATACATGATAGGTTTGTGAGAAATTAGCATATAGAGAAATTTCTGTCATGGGTATATTACTCTAGTATGTTAACTTCGGATAATGTTAGATCTATGTCAGGTACATTGACATCTAATTACGTAAGCTCACTGTACTACATTCATACGGTTGGTTCCGTATCACTGAAACTAGTTTCTTTTCTTTCAGCGTAAGTTTCTCGTTTGGTTCTGGACTTGTGATGTTGCATGTGTCAAGAGGAAGTGATGGGGATATGCTTTCCCTTAAATACACTCAGACTGCGTTCTGTTTTTTCTTTGCTGCTATGGAGTTGGTAAAGAAAGTTAATGCAAAATACTTGACTGCTGTCATTACTAAAATTAAGATTATTAGTACACTACGCTAGTATAATCTTCAATTATATTAGATATTTTAGTGTGGCCCAAGACAATGTGTCCCGAGAAAGCCGAAAGGTTGGACACCATGCTCTAATCCTTCATTGACCAAGGTTTTACAGAAAAAGCTATACAAATCACACACTATGCGTAAAAGAAAAAGAAAAACAACAACCAAAAAACCCAACATCCTGTAACAGTTTTTATTGTAGGACGTGAAAGTAGAAATACAGGTTTGGAATTTTTTTTTTTTTATTTTAACAGTAAGTCGTTGAGCATCTGCCTGCTTGGTATTCTCTACCTAGGAACATTCTATTAAATTCTAAAAACTCAGAAATTGTGTAACGTCCGATGGAGGGTTAATAACTGAACAATACCTAGTTGAGAAAAACCACAAATGTAAAAGTAAAGTGCTTAAAGCAGAATTATAGACACGTACTCCTGGACACCACTAAATAAGGGTAAGTGTATATACTTTTCCTTAAAGCACTCCGCTTTCAAATTCTGGGTTTTACATCCACTACGCAATGTGTAATTTATAATTTGGTGTAGTGTATAAGGAGACGACCCACACAAGTGTTATAGCAGCTTACTTATCTATAATATACATTTTAAGTGTCATTTCACAAGCATTTTTCAATGCTTAATAAGTGTATTTGCAAGCTTGGCACTCTGATATATATCTGTCATAAGGGGGCATTAGCAAGGAAGAAAATGGTATTTTTTATGCATTGTATTTCAGTGATTCTACCCCTTTAAAAAGTAGTATATTCAAGAAGCAGACTATGGACTTGATATTCATGAACCTTGTAAATCAGGAAGATACAATCAGTTACCACCACTCAAAACCATTCATCTGTGAATAATGCCAAATTACAGCTTTCAAAGATTGTCCGCAGATGACACCAGTGGGAACATTTCAGGGAAAAATCTCATAAGATTCACAGCTGCAGTATCTCCACAGTACAGCCAGTTCATCATACAATCTGCTACATTCTGCAAATTTATTATGTAGTACCTTATAACCTGGCATAGAAATTTGCAGCTTGTCGCGGAAAATGAAAGCAGATAAACAAGCACCAAAGCCTAATTTCTCTACAAACAAAATGAATCTATTACAATGAACTTGTTCTCTTTCCAAGATAGCAGGATTGGCATTTTTCTGGGTAAATGTGAGCGGGCGTATTAGTGTTTAAAAAGTATGCACTTTTACAAACTGTTGTAATTCCTACAACGTTCACCTGATTTGGATGTAAATACCCTCAAATTAAAGCTGAAAGTCTGCAGTTAAAGCACATCTTGTTCATTTCATTTTAAATCCATTGTGTTGGTGTATAGAGCCAAAAATATTAGAATTGTGTCGATGTCCCAATATTTATGGACCTGACTGTATGTAAATGTATCAATTTCCTCTGCGTGTAAATGTGTATCCCCACTGTGTCAGTATCCTCTGCGTGTATTATTTTAATTTTGCGACTTTTATACTTCAGTTTAGTAGCTCATATACTCCTTACATACACAATATTCACATTATTCCATATTTATTTGAAAAAAATATTCTTTACTGCATTTAAATCAGGCTTGTTCTCCAATATGGGATTAATGATCAATGTATATACATTTTATCAATAGAAATTACTTTTGAGAGAAAAACAATTTTTCTGGCGCCATATAAATAAAAATAATAATAATAATAATAATCATTAAAAAAAGAGTACTTAGGATAATATTTTTTTATTTTAGACCTGCAAGATTGAGAAACACTTTTCTGGAGCACCCTTGCTCCACAAATGTAACGAAAAAAATCTGCAAGTGCTGAGCATTCCTATATTATCTAAATGGACCCAGAACCCTAAGGAAGGCTCCAGCACCTTGTTGAATTCACGCTTTAATGAATTCACGTTGTTGAGGTATAAAGGATCAGAAAAGTAAAAATCTGCTGCAACAGATGTTAAAGGAACACTCTGGAAAGCATAACAATTTCATCTCGATTCAAGTGTTATGGTGCCAGGAGGTCCTCCTCATCTTACCTTAACCCCTTAAGGACCAAACTTCTGGAATAAAAGGAAATCATGACATGTCACATATGTCATGTGTCCTTAAGGGATTAAAGGACCACTCTAGGCACCCAGACCACTTCAGCTTTATGAAGTGGTCTGGGTGCCAGGTACCTCTAGGATTAACCCCTTTTTTTTTTTTTATAAACATAGCAGTTTCAGAGAAACTGCTATGTTTATACTGAGGGTTAATCCAGCCTCAGAGCCTCTAGTGGCTGTCTCATTGACAGCCGCTAGAGGCGCTTGCGTGCTTCTCACTGTGAAAATCACAGTGAGAGCACGCAAGCGTCCATAGGAAAGCATTGTAAATGCTTTCCTATGCGACCGGCTGAATGCGCGCGCGGCTCCTGCCGCGCATGCGCATTCAGCCGATGACGTCGCGAGCAAGGAGGAGAGGAGGAGTACAGCTCCCCACCCGGCGCTGGAAAAAGGTAAGTGTTTAACCCCTTCCTCTCTCCAGAGCCCGGCGGGAGGGGGTCCCTGAGGGTGGGGGCACCCTAAGGGCACTATAGTGCCAGGAAAACGAGTATGTTTTCCTGGCACTATAGTGGTCCTTTAAAGGAATAATCCATTGATTTATTTCAGTATGTATACCCCAAAGAAACCATGCAGTAAAAAACAAAAACAATCTGCAAATGCGGCACAGCTGTTATCTGCAGCCTTTGCAAGTCTTTCCCTCCTTCTCCAGCAGTAACCCCCAGTCTGTGCCAGGGTATACTCCAATCAGAAGCTTAAGTCTTTGTGATAGAGTAGTGATGCTCGAGGTTTTAATGAGGAATCCTCGGGGAAATTGAGTACTGATAGATATCTTTCTCACACAGTTTTTGAAGCTAGTGAGTCAGGTGATATCCCCAGAAAGCAAGTGACAGAGCAGATGGATGTTGCCTTCACAACATTACGAATGATTTAATCCCTTAAGCTAAGACGGTGGCCCAGGACCTGCTGGCACCATGACAACTTCATCGACAAGAAGATGTCATGGCGTCCGGAGCAATCTTTTCAATGTTTCTTGCAGGTTTTAACCTCTTCAGGACTGCTGACGGTTCAGGACCATCAGCGGTAAAACGTGCGTTTGGACTGCTGACGGTCCTAAAGCGTCATAGCGAAAAACTGGCTGCGGGAAGCAATCAAAGATCGCTCCCGCCAGTATAACACTAACTATCTGCCAGACATCCCAGGCAGATCGTAATAGCGAATTGCGGCGTGTAAGCGATCCGCGATCGCTCACAATTGGCTACTGTCAAAGTGGGTGTTACAAACACTCACTTTGACAGTGATCTCTGCCCCTCTCTCCTCTGTAGCGTTTTGGGAGGCGAGAGAGAAAGAGATCGTGATAGTTTGTTGCAGCAGAAGTGTTTCAGAGCTTTATACAGTATCTAAAGTGAATTTTAAAAAATCCCTTTAAACCCCTTCCCTGACAGATCTGTTACAGCAGTGCATGTCTGTATTTTTTTTTGCCCTTAAAGGGTTAAATTTGTTTTAAAAATCTGTGTCTTGGTCTGTCTTGGTCAGTCAGTTTCCTTCCCCCAAATCTCCATTAAGGCGTATAATAAGTACATGGGGGGGGGTTGATTTGGCTGATCAGTTGATGCAGCCATATCTTATTTTACAAAAAACCAAAGCATGGCATAAAAAGGTGTATCTATATGATGCAAATAGCAACCCACAGCTCATTTTTGCTTTTTTTTAAAAAAATAATCCAGGGAAAACCACCTTTCTCAAATTTCAGTTGAAAATAATTTCTTTAACAATTTATGGAGATGGACAAGTTCCAACAACGGTGCAAGCTGAGTCCAGACATTTTATTTTTAAGTTACCGCCAACTGCTAGAAAAAAATAATAAAAATCCCAGAAACGTTGCTGGGTCTGTTTTAAAAACGGGAAAGGGACAGACACCCCTTTTCACTGTCTTGATTGCCCTTCGAAACCAGGACTGTGTGTTGGAACATGTTTCAAGCTGTACCACACAGAACAGTTGTAAGAAGTGTTCCTCAATTTTTATTTTATTTTTTGTTTCTTTGGAAAGCAGCAATTTTTTGTCAGTTTCCTTCCCCCAAATATCCAGTTAGATTCTATTTGCAGGAGTCAGTTTAAAGATTGCTGCTAAATGTACATTTGCTACCTGCACATTCGGTCTAACAAGTTTTCTGGCAGTAACACATAACCAGCTGGCCAAAACCAGAATTAAAAAAATTACCACTACACTTTCTTTGGGGGGCAAAATGGTTGGGGGAAAGAAGTCAAAACACCCCATCTTCTAAAAACTTTGATGTCTACTTTATAAAAAATATATACTATATATACTGTCATGATGGTAACATTAACTGGGGGGGGTGCAAAAATATGTCAAACTGAAGATAGACCAAGCATACCTATATATGAAGTTGAAAAACTGACATGTACAAGTTCTGATTGTTGCCTTTTGGACCCCAAACAACCCAGCAACCCTATACATGGGGGGTATCACTGTACTCGGGAGATGTTGCTGAACATATTGGGCAGTGTTTGGCAGTGACACATAACAGGATCTGTTAATTCATGCCTAAAGTACAATGTGTGTGACAAAGAAACAAAAAAAAAGATTACTACCCAAAAGTTTGACAAAGGCTGGTGGTAGAATGCAGTGCATGAAAAGTGTTAAAATACCACAATTTAAAATACCCTGGGTTGTCTACTTTTCAAAAATATATGGTTTGATGGGGGTAAAATACATTGGCTCAAATGGGACATGGGCGCAGATTGATTACATGTCGAAATTCCAAGTTGGGAAACTGATAGGCGCACCTGCCAAACGTGGCCTTTTAGCCCCCAAAGAACCCGACAAGCCTATGCACGGGTGATATCACTGTATTCAGGAGATCTTGCTGAACACATACTGGGGTGTTGTTTGGCAGTGATACATAACAGGATCTGTTAATTCATGCCTAAAGTGCAATGTGTGTGAAAAAAAACAGAAAAAAAATTGACAAAGCCTGGTGGTAAAATTAGTGCATGTAAAGTGTTAAAATACCACCATGTGAAATACCCTAGGGTGTCTACTTTTCAAAAATTATATGGTTTGATGGGGGTAAAATACATTGGCGGCTTCAAAAGTGTCCCAAATAGGACATGCATGCAGGTTGACTACATGTCAAAATTCCAAGCTGGGAAACTGATATGCGCACCTGCCAAATGTGGCCTTTTAGCCCCCCAACAACCCGACACACCTATACATGGGGGGTATCCCTGTACTCGGGAGATGTTGCTGAACACATATTGGGGTGTTGTTTGGTAGTGACACCTAACAGAATCTGTGAATTTATACCTGAATTGCAATGTATGTGAATTTAAAAAAATAAAAATAAACTACCTATGCAAAGTTTGGCAAAGGTTTGTGGTAAAATGGCTGCATAGAACGTATCAAAATATTCTTAGATGAATACCCTGGGTTATCTAGTTTAAGAAAAATATATACATGTGGGGTGTTTTTTGGAGATTTATGACATAACAGTGTTACAATGTCACTATTGATACATTTGAAAAATATACATTTTGAAACAGCAATTTCCTACTTGTACTTATAGCCCTATAACTTGCAAATAAAAGAAAAAAAAAAAACACAAACATTGGGTGTTTTTAAACTCAGGACAACATTTTGAATCTATTTAGCAGTTTGTTTTATTCGATTTTGTAGATCAGTAAAAGTAAAAAAAAAAAGTGTTTTTTTAATTTTTCACCATATTTTATTATTTTTTAATTAAATTATATGACATGATAAAAATAATAGTATGTAAAGAAAGCCCTTTTTGTCCTGAAAATAACAATATATAATATGTATCAGAACAGTAAATGAGAGAGCGGAAAATTACAGCTAAACACAAACACCACAAAAGTGTTAAAATAGTTCTGGTCCTTAACGCACAAACATCGCAAAAACAGTCCGGTCCTGAATGGGTTAATATGTTAACAACTTTTAATTATACAGGTTCAGTTAATTCTATAACTTAATATTTTGTCTAGTGAAAATAATTAAATTCTAATGCTCCTCTTTCATAGATTTTATTGTAGGTTCTGAAAGGGTTATTCTCTAAACTGAATTCTCAGGAATTCTGGAAGGAACCAATTCACAGATTGCTGAATAACTTTGACAGGGTTTCATATAAATTAGTATCAATCAGGATTTAAAAAAAAAAAAAAAAAAAAAAAAATTTTTGCCAAATTTATAAAAAAATTTTTTTTTTTTTTTTTTTTTTAAATGGGCACTAAAATTGTGTACACTGTGTTAGCTTAAAATGGATCTGTTACTTTTCAGTATTTCATAAAGATAAATTCTTTACAGCATGCGCTATGGAAACCTTCTAGCCAACGTTGCTAGAGTTGTATAGGTAGTATAGGAACATGACATCACTCTGTTTACATGCTGGCAATGAATCCAACGTATTGGTGTCACAGAGAAGGCTTGGGGAAAGAGTCCCTAAAAATGGCAGAAGGGGTTAAACCCCTTTTTGTCACTTACTTGGGTCCAGAGCCGATGTTCCTCGGCGCTGGCTCAGGTCTGCCATCGCTCCTCCCCCGCCAACTTCAGCCGGCTGGGGAGATGCAAAGCAATGGCCGCGCTCGCATTAGGATTTCCCTATAGGAAAGCATTATACAATGCTTTCCTATGGAGTTTTGGGTGACGCTGGACATCCCCATGCATAGTGTGAGGACGTCCAGCGTCTGTTAGGTGACCAAAAGTCGCCTAACAGCTTGAAAGTTCCTCTAGTGGCTGTCTGGTAGACAGCCACTAGAGGTGAAGGTAACCCTGAAAAGGTAATTATTGCAGTTTCTTAAAAACAAGATTAAAGGGTTAAGGGACCTGGGACAGTGCTCCCAGACCACTTTAGTAAGCTGAAATGGTCTGGGTGCCTATAGTGTTCCTTTAATGAAGAGACTGGGCAGAGTGCAGGGGGGCCGGAGGTGGGTGTAAGTGTAACACGAACAGTATCACCCACAAAGATGGGGCTTTTAGGTATCCTCTGATATCCCATTACAGGTTCATTTTACAGTAAACCTTAAAGAAAACAGAGCATTGCCTGAAAAAAAGTTGAAACAAATTATAAGCAATTTTAATGCTTCAATCAATTTGGTGACGAGAAGTGACGATTCCGCTTTACGCAATAATACATGTATTTTAGAAATACATTTTTATAATTAAAAAAATGCTATGGTCTTGTTGCATTTTCCATTAAATAAATGTAAGTGAGAAAATGTTAAGCCACCTATACAATGTTCTTCCCTACCTTCACCCAACAAAATACAAGTTATTATTTTCCAAGATATTCCCTCTACCATGGGTGTTTGCTCCCACACTTTTAATCACATAACTCTGAATTGTGGATCGATAAGGGAATTGCAAATGTTTGGGCAAAATCTGGAAAAATATTTATTGGAGTTGGTCTAAAATTTGCAATTCTATTGTCCACAAAACAAGACAGTAGAGTTAAATGGATAAACCGTATTGTTTTCAGATACAGAACTCCCCTGCTTCTAGGCAACTACTTCAAATGAAATGTAAACAGCTCTAACTGAATGTTGGACTTCATTCAGAAAGCAATGGCATTACTTACATCTACGGAATGTGGGAGGTGCAGTAAAAGGAGTTGGGCAGGAAATTTAGATGAGGGCCTCCTTTTCAATAAAGCATTCAGAGACATCAACTAAAAGTATGCAGGAACGGATAAAAAAAAAAAAATGTAAAAAAATTATATATATATTTATGTATTTCAGTAAGTTGGGATAAAATGGTAAAAAGGCAAAAAAAATAATTTTACTACTACTTTTCAAAAAAAAAAACCTATTATTAAAAAGCATCTTGATAAGATCGTTAGTTTGACCACTGTATTTTCTAGTGGGCTATTTATTTGGTTTGACAGTGTTCGCTAACATTTAATGAAAATTATTTGCAGAAATTATTCTGTTGCCAGCTTTGTGCATGTACACATATGTTCGAAAATAAGACGATGTGCATCATCTTAATATCATAAAACAGATTGGTTCTTTTTGTGTGTGTCCTACCCAGACAGCAGCTCCAGAGGTTTGTGTTTTCACAATACTCACAGAAAGCCACGTAAAATATGCAAAACAAATATAAGTATAAATCTCATACTGTGCTGATTATGCACACTGGAGACACAAGTGATGAGCTTCTCCCTTGCAGGGGAGGCATTTATCTCTCCTCGTTGCCTCCTTATACCCTCTGTTTTGTTTAATGTTTTTAGAAATACTCTACCTGACTCTCGCTCCCCTTACTGGCTTATACACATGCACTCTGAGTTGGTTACATGGTCCAATCAAAATGCTTTTCTATGAAGCATTTGATTGGACCCTGCAGCAGCTCTTGTGATGTCAGACAGGGAGTAGAGACATTTTACAGTTTGGAGGGGGGTCCATTTGAAATTCCCTAATCAATTAAGGACAATTCTTGTATTAGTGAATAAATGGTTAAGTTCACAATTCACTAGCACATGCATAGATAGATAGATTCAAGTTTATTTTAAGCAGGTGTTTTTTGTGTGTGTTTTTTTTTTTTTTTTTTAAAGATTGGTACTGTGAAATAATGCAGAAATAAACTTTCTGGGGTCAAGCATTTTCTCTCACTTATCACCTACCCAGAGGGAAACCAAAGATTGATTTTTTATTGCTTAAAGGAGCCCTCGGGCAAAGCAGCATTCGCAGGGGGGATTGGACGACAAGGCTATACTGGATAAATGAATAGATGAGTAAAGCTCCCAAGACACGATAACAGCAGTGGAACAAACACATTCAGTTTTATTCACCAACGTGAGATTTTAACCCCTTAAGGACACATGACATTTGTGACATGTCATGATTCCCTTTTATTCCAGAAGTTTGGTCCTTAAGGGGTTAAAGTGATTTGAACATTTTAGTACCCAAACTGTAAACATGGAATGTGTCCAGTTCAGCTATTTTCATCTTGATTTTTAAATGTACTTTGGATTCTCACTTTGGTGGACAACCCTGATCAAATCCAGTACCACAGGATTGACATACAAACTAAAAGTATAACTTTTTCAGTACATTATATTCACAATATCTATTACAAAATAGATATGCTACTACACTGTGTTGCAGGATAAATCACAATTTATAAACTGAATACGTGTACCTAGACTCCTAGAGTGGCCACTAGTCTTTATCAATAGACTTGTATGACAAATATATAATTAAGGTCACTGATTTCCTTACAAGATGCAAATTGTGTAAGCATGCCAATATATATATATATATATATATATATATATATATATATATATATATATATATATATATATATATAAAAAATATTGTGGCCAATATTGGGTCATTTTAAATAGCCTATTCCAGAAACATGGAAGTTAAAACAAAATAAGAAAGTCCATTTGTAACTACTGGACCAGCATAAAAACCATTTAAAAGGCAATTCCATCCTTAATTAACCCTTTGCCTCTGAAATCAACGTCCCGTAGTCAGCCATTCCTTTATCTGAAGTCAGCCATGAACTTCCACGTCACCACATTAATCACAGCTTCCCCTCCCTCCCATCAAATCTACCCTCACCATCACTCTCCCTGCATGTTACCAGCTAACCCAGACTGGCATGCCAGGCTATAATTGATGGTTAACGTGTACGGTTCAGAATGTATTCCATGCTAAACAACAGAAAATAAACCTTTAATCACAAGTACATACTATATAACACGTTTTAAATTTCTGGTCATTCTAAATCAGAACCTTGACACATCATTCCTTTGTTATGGGACTGTAAGATGCAGGAACTGCACACAAACTAATCAACTCAACGACATCGACCCGATCAATAAATACTTTATCTGGGTGGGATATGTTCTCAAGGGGAAACCATTTTTTTGGGGGGGTTAAATCTTTATTATTTTACCCCCCTTCCCTTGTTCTTACCAGCACAGGACCTGGTTTTCCAGATCTTCAGTAGCAGGATGATGATGGCAGAGAGATGTGAAATGTCTCCCAGGAACCTGAAAATATTCATGGTGACACAGAGTGGGGTTTGAAGTTACTGGCTGTAATTTTAAATGATAATGCTGTTTCTTTAGGAAGGGATCGCTGGTGAAGGCTGGAGTGTTAGCTAGGCCTTGGGAGGGAGGAGGGGAGGAATGCAGAGGGGAGGGGAGCATGGAATCAGCTTTCTTTACTGCCCCCTACTGGAACCAGGAACTCAATCACTGTTCAATAGCTGCCTGCTCTCGCTTGTCTGTCTCCCAGGGTGTAGCGTGTACCCTGGAGCTTCGATCCAGAACTTTCCCGAAATTCCTTTTTTTTCCCCACTCCCAACTCATTCACTAAAGTGCATAATGTCCAGATTCCAAAACGCATTTTAATATATAGGTAACGATAGCCAAACTGTAAAACAAAAAATATGGTCCACAGGTTGAAATGCACTTTGAATTAATTTGGGGGATTTATTCACCAAATTCCAGACTGGAGTCAATTAGAATCTGAATGGCAAGACTGCAAGGCTAAAACAGCCATGCAGAGACTACAGCTGAGCAATTTTTTTTCTCTCTCTCTATATATATTTTTCTGTTTTTCAGTTCTTTACAGATTAGAGTTCAGTAAATTAACCCCTGAGTTTAATAAATTAACCCCTCAATTTCCAACACAGTAGTGAATACCGTGAATAACCATGAATGGTCCAATGGAACAGTTCCACAATGACACATAAACACAACTGAATGTCTCCATGCAGGGATGGATTTACCCTCTTTGCTGTGTGTGAAGGTTAAAGAACCACTATAGGCACCCAGACCACTTCAGCTTAATGAAGTGGTCTGGGTGCCAGGTCCATCTAGGATTAACCCTGCCTGCTGTAAACATAGCAGTTTCAGAGAAACTGCTTTGTTTACATATGGGTTAATCCAGCCTCTAGTGGCTGTCTCATTGATTTTGATTTTCACAGTGAGAAGACGCCAGCGTCCTTAGGAAAGCATTGAGAATGCTTTCCTATGGACTGGCTGAATGCGTGCGCGGCTCTTGCCGTGCATGCGCATTCAACCGATGACCACCGAAGGAGGAGGAGAGTCCCCAGTGCAGAGGGAGCCTGGTGCTGGAGAATAGTGAGTGTTTAACCCACTTCCTCCCCCTTCAGCCCGGCGGGAGTGGGGGCACCCTCAGGGCATTATAGTGCCAGGAAAACAAGTTTGTTTTCCTGGCACTATAGTGGTCCTTTAATTGTGGTAGTTAGGGTCATCTATTTTAGAAAAAAAAAATACTGGCCATGCTAATTTGTGTAATTAATTGTATACGTGTGACATCATAGCGCACTACGTCACCTGGTTTTACGCAACATCTCATTTACTAAAATAAGAGGAAAATTCCCTAAATCAGTAATAAACTACTTACAATGTGTATTCTGTGTCTGGCTGTGAAGCAACATGTATGTGTAGTAGGGTTTGTATACTGTCTAAATGAGTGTGTGTATAGCAGCGTGTGAATACTGTTTGTCTGAGTGTATGTGCTTCATTGTGTGAATACTTTGTCTAAATGTGTGTGTCAGTGTCTGTATACTGTGAGTATGTGTGTGAGTCTGCTGTGTCTTTGTGTGGTATTGTGTATAGCAATGTGTTTATCTGCCATGTATAATAGAGCTGGATATTCTGGCTCCATTTCTCACATCACTCTCCCAAAGTCCCGTCAGAGACAATTACCTTTGCCTTGACAGTATTTTTTGCAATACCGGTACTGACCAGATAGCCTCAAATGCCAGCTGTGCTGGTAAAATAGGTGACAACCCGAGGTGGCAGACAACCCGAGGTGGCAGACATCCCAAGTCTTCCGGTAGGTCCGGGAGATTCCCGTATGTGTAGTGTGTCTCCCTGACACCCTCAAGTGTCAAACAATATCCCGGAAATCACACACAATCTGACATATTATATATCTCAGATTGTGTGTGTGATTTCCAAGCTGTTATATATGCTAAATGCCCTTAATAAATTAAAGGCATTCAGCATATATTAAGGACCCCCCTCCCTTTCCACCCCCATGAATATTATTTCTGAGCAGGGGCCCAGTTGGGTGCCCAGCCCTTTAAAAGCCTGACCGGGCCCCTGCCGTATCTGCCGGGTGGGAGTAATGGGAGGAAGTGATAAACCACCTGTCACTTTCTCGCAGCTAAGAAGACAGCCGCACGGGAGGGAGGAGGAGTAGGCTGGAGCACAGAGGCAGCATAGAGGCAAAGGAAAGGCTGGAGTGAGCAGCTACATGCTCACTCCCATAAGCCTCAGCCAGGACACAAGGTAAGCTAAGGGTGGCTGCAGATCAAATTGTTATGCCTTGTGTGTGTATGTGCTAGTGTGTGTCAGTGTATATCTGAGTGTGTGTGTATGTATGTGCAAGTGTGTGTATCTGAGTAAGTGTATGGGCCAGTGTGTATGTATGTATCTAAGTGTGTGTATGTACCAGTAAGTGTATCTAAGTGTGTGTATGTACCAGTTTGTCTCTATCTGTGTGTATTTGAGTGTGTACATATGTGTATCAGTGTGGATCTAAATGAGTGTGTATGTGCCAGTGTGTGTATCTGTATGTATCTAAGTATGTGTATGTGCCAGTGAGTGTATCTAAGTATGTGTATCAGTCTGTGTATTTGAGTGTGTGTGTATCTGTATGTCAGTGTGTAACTGAGTGTGCGTGTGCCAGTGTATGTATCTGAGTGGGTGTGTGACAGTGTCCATATCTTTGTGTCAGTGTCCGTATCTGTGTGTGTGTGTGTGTGTGTGTGTATGTATGTGTCAGTGTCCGTATCTCTGTGTCAAGATGTGTGCATGAGTCCATTTGTTAATAGTGTGTGTAAATAGTTGTGTTATGTCATAATGAAATATCATGTAATTGTTCATAGATGTTTTGAGACGTGTATGTGTGTGTTGGTGTATGCGTGCTGGGCAGTGCACGTGTGTGGTGTGCAGTTGCTGGTGAAGCCACCTCCCTGAAATTAGCTTTTGCATTTTGGGATGTCTGAGGTGGTGTATGTGGGGATGCATACTTGGGGGTGGCTGCTTATTTTGTTGCATTTGGGATGGTAATGGGTGAATAGTGGATTAAGTGGGGAGACAGAGGCCATTGTGGGTAGCATAGTGGCTATAGTGGGTGAGGGATAGAGACTGTAGTGGAGCTAAGGGGGCATGTCACTAACACACTATACTTCAAGAGCGTGCGTGACGTAGTTATGGTGGGGAAAGGGTTAAAGTTCACTACTTGTCTGCACTAGACCAGAAATAATGATAAAATCCCACTTAACAAAACCCACACCTAACCACAATAATATAAATATTACTATTTTAACACTGCCAACACCAAGACAATTTATAAATGTTAACTTAATAATAAAAAGCCACCGAATACAACTTAGTCCAATATTTAAGCAATTGCAAAACACTAATTAGTCTCTTCAGGTAACATGATTCTTTACCGGACAAAGGCAGAACTTAATAAAGGAATATTTATTATAAGCAAAACATAGTCACAGTGCATACAAAAATATAGATGACAATCAAATTAGTTACACCAACAACAGATAAAAACAAAAGGGATAAAATAACAGAAGTCCTAATCACTTACTTAGGTTTTCAAAGTAAAACTTCTGCCCAGGGGGTCTCTGGTAAGGAGGATGGTGACTCGCTCAGAATTAGATTCTGGCCCCCAAGCAAGTACAATACACACTTCAGTATCATTAGATATATACCCTGTGGATTACCAAGCCTCTCCCAGAGGTGGAGGTAAGGTGTACCTATAGTAACTATAAGTGACCACCCCCTGGTGTTCTAGACCAACATCAATCCTAATGGAAACATTTGGTTTTATCTCCTCTTATGTACTTGCCAATAATAATTGCATCTATGCATCTTGCATAAATAATAATTGCATCTATGAATTTTTTACAATTTTTCCATTCTATAGATATGTCACACTCCTTACTTGTGACGCAATATAACGGACATCACAATTAGAGTTGAGTGAACCCGAACATTAAGTTTTTTGGACCCCGGACCTGAATATCACTGTATGTTCTGGTTGGAGTTCGGTGTTCGTCGATTTAATGGCGCATTTTCAAAGGCTGCAGGGCAGCCAATCAACAAGCGTTTGACTCGTGCCCTTAGAAGCCATCACAGCCATACCTACTAATCGCATGGCTGTGATTGGCCAGTGCAGCATGTGACCCAGCCTCTATATATAAGCTGGAGTCGCGTAGCGCCGCACGCACATGAGGTCTTATTAGTGTAGGGAGAGGATGCTGCCGCTGTGAGGCTTAGGAAAGAATTTTGCAAACTAGTACATTAGTGGGGTGCACTTCATATCCGAGAGTCAAATAGAAGCTTCAAATACCGCGGTTACATCAGAGTTTTAAAAAGTAAATTTTTTTGGGTGCTAGATAGTACATTAGTGGGGTGCACTTCATAACTGAGAGTCAAATAGAATCGTCAAATACTGCTGTCACATTACAGTTTTAAAACGTAAAAGTTTTTGGGTGCTAAAAAGTACATTAGTGGGGTGCACTCAGGGCTGGTGCTAGGATTTTTGACTACACAGACGAAGATGCATTTTGACGCCCCCCCCCAAAAAAAAATAAACAATGCATCTTCACCTCTGTGTTTCATAGCCCCCTTTTGAATTTCTTACCCCCATTAGTGTTGCATATCCACTCTCTTGAATGTCTTACCCCTTTGGCCCCTTTGTGCCTTACACCCCCCTTTAGTGTGTCTCCTACAACCCCTCTTATGTATTTCTTACTTTCCCGCCAGCCCCTTTCTGTCTCTTTCTTCCCCCCAGCCCCTATCTAGACATAGATACAGGCAAAAATACATGCATGCACAAATACACAAACATACAAACACACAACCATACAAGCACACAGACATAATTATTCAGGCACACAGTCACAAAGATATACAGACACACAGTCATAAAAGGCACACAATCAAACAAACACAGTCATACAATCTACACATACAGATGCATTGTCATACAAACACAGACATACATTCATACAGACACAGGCACACACAGAAATACAGACACAGACGTAAAGAAACATAGAGATAGGCATATAGAGACATGCATACACAATGATACAGAGACATACATACACAGACAGTCATACAGAGACATACATACACAGACAAACAAAGAACCCTGCACACTAATACCG